TTAAGTCAGTAATGTATTTTGTGCTCATGGACCTTTGCCTCTAGAAGTAGGAATTGTTGAAAAATAACAGTATTTTTAAAAATAAAAAAATAGACACGTTTATGGAATATAGGGATATCAGTAACTATAGGAGAGGGTGCTAGGGTGCCCGTACTAAGCATGAGAACATCCGCCGTTAGGCCCATATGGCACAATGGAGCAATGTCTCAGCCTCTCCTCCTCTCCTCTGCTATTTCTCTACAACTTTAGAAGGAAAAAGTGCCAGCATTGCTTTTCTTTAACCAACAAATTCCTTACAGCAGAGTGAACTAAAAAGCAGCAGCTGCACCTGCTGACAGTTAAAAAAAAGTAACCAGACAATGTACTTCAAATTTGTTCAATAAACTCTAATGCACTTTGAAGGAAGCCACAGAAACGGGTGGTGTTAATGAAGTATTAATGGCTTTGGAGGAGGTGTAAATGGTTGCTGCCTTAATGGCTGTTGCACAAGCATTCTAGCACAAAGGGTAAGTGAGAGAAGCCACAGTGGAGTTCCTTGAGCTACATTCTCTTAGTCTCTGATAAAAGAAGAGGAAGGAGCACATGGATGTGCATGTTGCCATGTCTTCTGTGGCCGCAGGCCTTCAGGCAGCTGCTAGGGATGTCAGTGTCCCAGTAGGGCCCAACAGCACTGACACCTACCGTGGGGTTGTTCCCACCATTTTAAAAAGTTACCCAAATGCCCTGGTGTGTTATGGGAAATTTGCAATTGCAGCTTCCCAGACATCCATTAATTGCTGCCACCAAGTAAGCTTGCAGCTGGTGTGACAGCCCAACAGAGGAAGCAATCCACTAGACTGCACTTAGCCAAGGCCACCCAACCCTGTAAAGACTTCTGCTCAAAACTTTGCTGAACGGCTGGCAGTCAGTGCTGGCAATACTAGATAGAATAGGTAGAAGGCAGATTTCCTATGTTACTGGAGTCAGCCCTGAGTGGTCCTCGAGATTACTAGTGCCCTTCCATAAGCCCTAAATTGCCCCATTTCCCACAATACCTTCAGTTATTAATTTCCCAGACCATGCAGGGTTGAGCACTACTGGGCTGTACAAACAGCATCACTATTGGGAGGACACTGCCCACAATGCCACACGACACAACATGCCTTACATGGTCATACTTGAGCGCTGTTCCCTACATCAGATTTCCCTGGAATATCTCCTGTTGCACACTCCTTGTGCAGGAATGAATATTCTCCATGCAATGACTGGAGTTTTTCACATGGAAGGATTTCTAAAGGCTAACAAGGCCGATGGCTCTAGCATTGGAACTGGCCTGAAAAAGGCGCTTCTTTAAGTTACTTTTGTCAAAATGCATTCTTAAGAATGCGTGCAAGGAAGGCCTTGAAGATGTTCCTTTGTCACTTGCAAATAGTCAGATGGTGCACACAGCTGAAACACATGTTCAGCAAATTTCCTGGAAGTTGCTGTGCCAAACACGTATCTGAAAGCGCTCGCCTGACTATTCCCTTCTCTACAGCAATATGCTACTTTTGGCATATTCCACACACACAAACATATTTTGGGAAATGTGGATAGAGAAAAGTTTTTCTCCCTCTCTCTTAACACTAAATGTTGAAAGATTCAGGACAGCTAAAAAAAAAGAATAGCAACATTAGTTAAAATCAGATCTACTTTTGGGTACTTTATTTGACACATTAATTCTTTTCTTTTTTAAAAAAAGCATTCTTCCTCTCATTACTATCTCACTCCTGGATAAAATAGTCAATTAATTTAAAGGGGAAACCCCATGGATAATTAATATTGTTTCTGTTGCAGAGCTCACTTGATTTTGCTTTTTTAGCATTCGGGAAATTAATTAAGGATTGACCAACCATCAAGTCAGGTCCCTGCCATACAATAAATTTGATTAAATTATTCCAATCATTGTCAAACAAAAGCGTCAGAAGAATGTTTCTGGGATATTTACTGGGACCAGTATAATTGGATTGCAGTCTGAACACTGGCTCCATCGTAAGAATGTAAGACTAGCCTGCTGGATCAGGCCATCAGCCCCTCTCATAGCTGTCAACTTTTCCCTTTTCCTGCGAGGAATCCTATTCGGAATAAGGGGATTTCCCTTAAAAAAGGGAAAACGTTGACAGCTATGGCCCCTCTAGTCCAGCATCCTGTTCTCACAGTGGCCACCCAGATGCCTTTGGGAAGCCTGAAAGCAGGACCTTAATGCGATATCACTTTTCGCCACTTCGAATTCCCAGCAGCTGGAATCTAGAGGGACACTGGCTCCAGCAATGGAAGCAGAACACAGCCATTATGAACAGCAGCCATTGATAGCCTTAGGATCCTTGAATTTCTCCAGTCACCTTTTGAAAGCCATCCATGTCAATGGCCATCACTACTTCTTGTGGTAGCAAATTCTATATAACTAGGGAATTATTTATTATTATTATTATTATTATTATTATTATTATTATTATTATATGGTTTAATAAACCCTTCCTTCTTCTAGCAGTGCTCTGCCTATTGTTATAGCTGGATCCACCTATTTTTAATTAGCCTGCCTGCTGCCCCAGCAGCCACAAGGAGCACCAACCACCACATGCAAATTGTCTCCTTAAACAAAACAAGCTAATCCAGGTCACAATACAATTAGACCACCATTCAACATTTGAGTTATTATTCAACCCACACAATGCAAAAAATAAATAAAAATAAATAAATTAAATACCCCTCAGTAATCACACATAACAAAACCATGTGAGTTCCAATACACCTATGAGGACATTCCAAGCAATTTCCAAATGCACGCATAAGCCAAGGACAATATAGATAATCAAAGACTTGGTTTCTCCAGGCACAAACAAGAGAACCCAAATGCCTCCAGATGGGCCACAGCAGGCAGTGCTTCAGCACACGGCCTCCACCTGTAGTAATGGAAACAGGTGAAGGTGTTGCCCCAGTAACAATCCAATCAGTCTCACTCACTATAGTTACGGGCAGGGCGGGTGGGGGAAGGCTTGCCAGCCAAGGACAAAGGCTGTCCCCTCACTAAGTGCCAGAGGCAGAAAAACAAATTATGGGGCCTCTGAATCAGGGGTGGCCAGGTGAGGAAGAGGGCAGGAAAAGGGAATTTCAGCTGGTGTTCTTTGCTTACCTGACAACAGCTGAAATCCCCTCTTCTCTGCAACTATTAAAAGTAGTTTAACAGTAGTCCTGCTATTCCCCCAGCTGCCCACCCCCCACTTCAAATGGAGAGATAATTCCTCCCAGTAGAAGTTCATTCAGCCACTATCAGCACACACCATTTTTTAATTATTATTACTACAAAGGCTATAAAAAGCTCATTCACAAAATAAAATATGCTTTGTTTCAGGTTAGCAACAGTAAACTATGGACCTCCAGGTGTTGCTGGACTACAACTTCCATCAGGCACAGCCAATAGTGAGGGATGATGGCAGCAGCTGGAGGGTCACAGCCCTCACCCGCCCGATTTTAGGCAGAGAGAGAGAGCGAGCGCACGCATGAGTTCCACTGCCATCATTTTGGGTCAGTCTATTTAGTTTTTTAAGCTATGATTTGAGTCTATTTTGCATACGTTATAACATGTGTCTATTTCATAAGCGGTTTTATGTGCTTTTGTTGTCATATATTTTGTTCCCTCCAATATGTTGAGGTGAAAAACCAGGCCACACATCTTCTGGAGCTGCACTCCTGAGCGAGTCACAAGATCTGCGCAAGATTGTGGCTACCCCAAAAGCACTTTTTGGGTGCTGAGATGGCGGCCCCCAAAAACACACAGCCCAATTTTATTGGGACAACTGAGGAGCAGGGTCTATTGCACTGTTCTTTCTATCAGTTATCCTGATTCCCTCTTGTACTGTCTAAAGGTCCCATTGACTTTGTGCAATTTGTGGAGAGGGGGCGGCTTTTCTTTGCGTTTCTGCATCCTATTCATGCAGTCTAGTTGGGCGGGAACTGCTGCTTGGACTGGTGTGAGGTGGGGTCTGTGAGGCAAGAGTGGCAGTAATTTGAGATGGATGGCGTAGGAAGAACTGTGGGAAGCCTCTCAGCAGATGAATATGTTCTTAGTTTGCTCCAAAGGAGGCCCAGGCATCCTGTGTTTTGAATGTCGTGTTTCAGCCAGCGAGCTTTGCTTTGTGCCTGACAGAACTTCTTATTATTACTTACCCTCACCCTTTTGTCTCCTGTTTTGGCGTGGAGCAGTTGTCCTCCTTCAGGGAACCGATTCCTTTGGCCTCTGCCCTTTCTCCCATGGGAATTCCATCAACAGTCCTTCCCTCTCTGGCCTCCCAAGAAACAGACTGGTTACGGCCAAAGAATTCCTCATGCACAGGCGTTCGCCGAAACAGCCTGAAATGGAGGCTGAGTCTTAAAAGCCTCACTGCTGGGACACAGAAATGACAAGCAAAGCGAAAAGGGCTGGGAGGGAGGGGGGGGGACTCCTTAGCACATCTGAGAGGGGCCAGCAGCAAATTAACTCTGACAGCGCCAGCCTCACTCATCGGGGTCAGTGTGAAGGAGCTGGCATAGCGAATGGGCTGAGGGTGTGTGGGGGAGAAGCCATGGATGACAGAAGACAATCCTGTTTGCCAGCATCTAGCCTGCCACCTTCAACTCAGCAAGTCTCCCTCCTCGCTTTGCTCTGTGGACCCGGGCAAAGGTTTTGTAGGCCGTTTGCAGAAAAGGACTGTGCGGCTGCTCTCTCTTTAGGGCAAACCCCTCAGAGCATACTACTCTGATTCTCCCTCTCCAAAAATGGCGGACATTTCCCCTCAGGCTCCTCTGCGCTGTCTCTGCTTGGGTCCTTCATCTTGCACCACGCCTGACTATTGGCTGTGCCGGCTGGACCACAGGCTCACTGCCCCTGCCCTGTACAGTGTAACACAGGAAGCTGCCTTATCATGAGTCAGCCCACTGGTCCTTCTCGCTCAATATCGTCTACACTGACTGGCAGCTGCTGTCCAGGGTTTCAGGCAGCATTCTCTTCCAGCCTGGGATTGAATCAGGGACCATATTCATGTAAGACTGATGCTCTACCATTGAGCTATGACGCTTCCCTGTGGGCACCTAGGGGCCTTCCGCAGTGTGTAGTAGGGAGATGGAGTCCAGAAGGCAATGTGTTAATTTTGTTGTTGTTGTTATTAATTTATTAGTCACTTGCTATATGAAGAGTCTCTGAGCGACTTATAAAAATTGTAAAGCACAATATAAAATCAGAAAAGCATTAAAAACTGTAGAAAATCAATATGTTTTGCTGCTGTTTTGCTGGGTCTATTCTATTGATTTCCTATGGTTTTTATTGTCCATGCTCACTCCTAGGAGGTGAGCTGCACCTGTTGAATTTCTACCCTGCCATGCTGCTGTTATAAGGACAGGAGCATTGCAAGGGAGGAAAGAAAGGGGGTATTGTGGGCTGATGTTAGTCTAGGAACATTTTGTTGAGGGCGGGCAGGAAATAATATCTCTTGTCTACCTGAAGGTCTTTAACTTGCCTTGGAGAACCTCTTTGTTTGCCAGCAATCTGGCTTCCAGTGTTCACTTTGTGGGGAGCACTTAATTCCTGACCTCCTGACTCCCTTGTCCCTACTGAAGAGAGGGAGGGTTGTGTGTGTGTTGAGGATAAAGAGTAGGTTTTAACTTGTGTAATCAGGAATCAGTTCTGAAACCTATTTTCAGTGCCTGGTGCATGTAAAGAAATAATAATAATAAAGGACAGTGCCTGTGAGTAGGCCCCAACTGCATTTCCCTAGCAACCAGAGAGCAGAGCTCACAATTTGATATCTCTGCAATTGAGGACTCAGGCTTCCAAGACAGACAGTGCAGCTTCCAGCCAGCCCTAAGCCTCAACACCTCTCTTTTTCGAAATTAACTAGTGACTGTCCTGCTTAGGCTTGACTGCACGGACCACATTTAAGGCAGACATATTGCTGGAGATTGGGGGGCATGCCCAGGTCGGCTCGTGCAGAATTTGGCAGCCAGGTTGCTCACCAGGGCAAGATGGAATGAGCATATAACGCCAATCCAAGTCTGACTGCACTGGTTGCCAATTAGTTTATGAGCCTGCTTCAAAGTGCTGGTTTTGACCTATAAAGCCGTAAGTGGCTCAGAACCACAATACGGCATGGACCACTTCTACCCATATAAACTGACCCAGACCCTGCGATCATCATCTGATGCCCTTCCTTGTGTCGATGTCCAAAGAGTGGCAACATGGGAATGGGCCTTTGCTGTGGTGCCCCCCCCCCCCCCGGCCGCTTGTAGAATGCTCTCCCCAAGTAGGCTTGCTTGACACCTTCATTACAGTGGTACCTCAGGTTACATACGCTTCAGGTTGCATACGCTTCAGGTTCCAGACTCCGCTAACCCAGAAATAGTGCTTCAGGTTAAGAACTTTGTTTCAGGATGAGAACAGAAATCGTGCTCCAGCGGCATGGCAGCAGCAGGAGGCCCCATTAGCTAAAGTGGTGCTTCAAGTTAAGAACAGTTTCAGGTTAAGAACGGACCTCCGGAACGAATTAAGTACTTAACCCGAGATACCACTGTACATCTCTTTAGGTGTCAGGCAAAAACTTTCCTTTATAACCAAACCTTCAGCATTTAACTACCTATGACCTTTTAGATGTGGGTGGAATGTTTTTAATATAGTTCTTTTTCCTCTTGGTTTTAATGTATCTCGGGGGGGGGGGCGCTGCAGGGTTATCTGTTATGTTTGGTTGTAAGCTGTTTTGGTTGCCCTGGGCAAGATAAAGCAATTAACAAATTTGAAGAAGAAGAATAATAATGCCATAGGATATGCCAAGTTGCGGCAGTTTGTCCTGCAGGGGCCCATATTAAACAATTCTATAGGCCAGAGGTAGCCATTGGGGTGCCCTCTCAATGTTTGTTTGTTTACCATATTTATACCTCATCTTTCATCCAAGGTATCACACAAGTTTCTCCCCTCTCCATTTTATCCTCACAGCAACCCTGTGAGGTAGGTTAGGCAGAGAGAAAGAGACCCATGGCAGAGCTGTAGCTGCAGCAGGGCTAACCAGGTGTGTTTTTTTCTCCCAGGTGAAGCCTCCAGAGGGGTTCCATTGAGACTCCCAGCCTGAGTCTGAGTCTTTAACCTGGGTGAAATAATGCCTAGTTTCGTCCCTGCCCAAGGGTCTCCCAGGTCCCAGTCCAACACTCTAACCCAGGCATAGGCAAACTCGGCCCTCCAGATGGTTTGGGACTACAACTCCCATCATCCCTGACCACTGGTCCTGTTAGCTAGGGATGTTGGGAGTTGTAGTCCCAAAACATCTGGAGGGCCGAGTTTGCCCATACCTGCTCTAACCACTATGCCACACTGACTCTCATGTTGTTGGACAACATGGCCCAGGGGCTGATGGGAGCTGTAGTCTAGCAGCATCCGGAAGGCAGCAGGTTGGCTGCTCCTGCTGACAGCCATTAATATCCCACATTCTTTCTGGTAATGCTCCTCGGTAATGTCATGTTTTCAGGTGAGACAATAACTCTGAGCTGTGTGACACATCGCAGTAATAATGAGAGAAAGCAGAGTTCATTGATAACAGTGAGAGGGAGAGAGGGAGAGAGAGAAAGAAAGCACACAGGCATTTATTTGGGGACGGTGCCAAAAAGGATATTTGCAGGCAAGATGCAAGTGAGGCACCATATATACATATAATGAAAGGGGGTCCTGGCCCTCATGTTTGGTGCGTCTGAGTTCTCTAGCAAATGAACCCTTGTGCCAAAGAACAGGCCTTCTCCCAGCATGGGCCGTACTGGTGCTGGGGGAGCGGGGTGGGGGGGTGGGGAGGAGACGGGACACTCAAGGTTAGAGCATGTTTGCCCCCTAGTGGTCACTTTTTCCTTCCATGGAATGAGACGTTTGCGGGAAGAACCAGGCGCTAGGCTTCTCCATGCATGAATCTGAGGCAGCGGCACAAGCTGGGCTTCCTCGCTGACAGCAGCATCCACACATGAAATAGTTAAGCAACGGTAACATAAGTCATGGGCAGGTGACCAGCACTGGAGCAAGCAAAGCTTTTGAAACAAGCTGGTTGTCTCTCTGTTGAGTCTTTGTTACATAACTTCAAGAATCACTTATTGTTGTGTGGTCTGCTACCGATCGCCCTTATGGTGAGGGTCTGGCTTAGTTTTCTGCATGTCACTATGACAAGTGAACTCTAAATATAATTGCTGCTGAGGAACCTTTAGCTTTCTTTCTCGATTTGCTTTTCTTAGCAGCTCATACTTTGCCCTCTCTCTTTTTTAGGTCCATTCACTGGAACATCTTTTATATTTGATTGCTTATTTTCCATTGCTGTTGCTGGTGGGAGGAGGGCGCTTAGCCAAACAGTGATAGTACATGATGTAGGAGGGAATTTATATTAGTTTTTTCTCTCTCCCAAAGTTATTATTATGTTTAGTGTCTAAAGTTTAACTAAGCTTTGTGCTTATGTGCCTAGATTTAAGTGTGGCAAGAGCATTAGCAGCTGAAATGTTACTGAAATAACCTGAGTTGCTGGGATGTGGCCAGAGGAGAAAAGAAGTCAGAGTTCCTGTGCTTTTATTAGTTTTGTAGGAGAAGGGATCCTGACAGTGGCAGCTTGTTGTTGTTCTGTGTGTGTGTGTGTGTGTGTGTGTGTGTGTGTGTTTTGGGGTTGGATTGGGCTCAGATCATATATAAGAGGCTGCAGATCCTGGCATCTCAACCCTTGACATCTCCAGTTACCGTATTTTTCGCTCTATAATACGCACCAGACCATAACACGCACGTAGTTTTTAGAGGAGGAAAACAAGGGAAAAAATATTCTAAATGAAACAGTGGATGTATGATTTTTGTGGTTCATGCTGTGGCCACAGACATGTGATCTGACAGTGAGTTTGGAGTGGCCCAATTCAAAAATCCTGAGGATCCATGTGGATCCATGTTTGTAACCACGTTTTTGCACCACTGCGGCCCCACGAAACAGTGGGTGCGTGATTGTTTTGGTGCAAGATGTAGCCATGGACATGCTATGTACCCTAATCTAATGGTGAATTTGGGGTGACCCAGTGCAAAAATCCTGAGGATCCATGTGGATCCGTGCTTTGTAACCACGTTTTAAGTGGGGAGGGAAGGAAAAGCACTCAAGGGACAAGGAGCACGCATGGGGTATGTGGAGAAGGATGCTGCTAATAATGCTATTTAGCGAGCTGAGTGGGGAGGATAGAGGGACAGATAGCCTGCTTGCTTTAAAGGAGCCAACCGGACAGGAGCCGCTTACACTCGTGTAAGTGGCTCCTCTCCTCTCCTGCTTTGCTCCTTTAAAGCAAGCAGACTCTCTGTCCCTCTCTCCTCCCCACTCAGCGGCTCTTCTCCCACTTTGCTGTTTCAAAGCGAGCCACGGAGGAGGGAAGGAAGGGGAACCATGGATCCTCTGCTCACAACTGCAGCAGATCCTCCCCGCCACCCGTAGGCATTCGCTCCATAACACACAGAGACATTTCCCCTTACTTTCTAGGAGGAAAAAAGTGAGTGTTATGGTGCAAAAAATACGGTAATTGCTCAGGAAGCAGGTGGTGAAAAGGTTTCCCTGATTGAGGCCCAGGACATTCACAGCCACTCAGAGCAGACAATTCAGGCCTAAAAGGACAAATACTAGGGCCTCCCTGTGTTTCTACTGAAAGCCCCTCTTCTGCATCAATGGTACTATCAGGGCAGGATTGGATGTCCATGGCCCACTCAGGACAATGAGCAGGAGGGTTCCCAAACTCAGCAGGGCTGGCAGAGCACTTTAGAATTAATACACAATTACCCGGTAAGACGCATTACTTTGCTTTTCACTGGAAACTTCCAACCAGAGCCAGGTACAAAAGATGTGCAGTTATAGACCAGGTTGCCTCTGAGCTTAGATACTTGTTTTCAGTGTCTGAACTGAACTGAGCTCACAATCCTTTTACATAAAAGTCCAACCCTGCTTAGCTCTCTTCACCTCACCAGCTGCGAAAAGTGTCTGCTTTGTTGTTGTTGCTGCTGCTGCTGCTGCTGTTAAACAACCCTTGCTGACCTGCTCCAG